AGGTTAGTAAAGCACAGGGACCACGGTTCAATCCCCCAGCACCTGGCTTTCCTGGTGCTGAAGAATTAAATTAGACCACTATGCACTATACTAAAATCAAAATGTATCAAAGATTTAAATTTTATTTAAATTTAGGGAAGGGTCTGCAGGGTGTTCAGGCTCTCACTACTAGATTCGACTCATAGTGATCCGCCCGTTTGCAGCCTCCCAAGAGCTGGGAGTACAGGTGCGCGCCACCATGCCCAGTCTGAATTGCTGTCTCAGTGCGCCCCTGGGGCAGGGCCGGCATGGCAGGCCCAGGGATTGAACCCCTGTCCCCTGCGCCTGCTTGCAGGAAAGATTTAAATATTAAGACAAAATCACTAAGTCTGCTGGGGGACAGAACAGTTAGAACTCCTAGAAAACAGTGGTATTAAAAAAACCCAACACATTGGTGTATTCAAAGCTTTTATGAAAAAAACTCCAATCGAAGAATTATCAGGGCTGGTGAGATAGCTCAGCGGTCTAAAGCGCCTGCTTAGGCAAGCTGAGGCAACTGCAGGAATCGTGGTTCCATGTCCAGCACCACATGCCGCGCCCTCCGCCCCCACGCCAAGGCATGCTGAGATGGCCACACAAAAAAAGAGGAACTATCACAAAAAATGCCCCCCACCCCACAGGGCTGAGGGTATGCGGCTGGTGGTGTCCTCCTCTGGTCCTGACTCACCGCTGTTTGCTCGCGCTGCCAAGGAACAAGTCGGTCAGGAAGCCACGCCACAGCCATGGCGTTTAAGGACACCGGGAACACGCCGGGATCCACTGGCTCCGGATCACCCTCACCAGCCCCAATGTGAAGTCCCCGGAGGTGGTGTGCGCCGATCTGATCCGAGGCGCCAAGGAGCAGAACCTCAAGGTGAAGGGGCCCGTGCGCATGACCACCAAGACCTAGAGAACCACGAGAAAAACGCCCTGTGGGGAGGGATCCAAGACGTGGGAGCGCTTCCAGAGGAGGATCCACAAGCGGCTCATGGATCTGCACCGCCCTTCAGAGATCGTGAAGCAGATCACATCCGTCAGCATCGAGCTGGGAGTGGGGGTGGAGGTCACCACCGCTCACACCCGAGCAGCTGTCCTAATAAATTGTGACTTTTAAAAAACCAGTTTCCACAAAAAAACCCCCAAAATCCAAAAAACAAAAACAAAACACAAAAAACGGATCTTATCTTATTTAATAACTTTTGCATAGTGAAAGAAACCAACGGAGTGAAGAGACAAGCCACAGTGGGAAAAAAATTTTGTTAGTTGTTCCACAAAGGACTACTATGTAGAATATATAAAAAACTAAAATCAGACCCCTCAAATGCAAAGAACCAATCCAAAAATGGGCATCTGAAACAGATACTTTTCAAAGTAGAAATGGCAAATATATGAAAAATTGTTCACGATCACTGATCATTTGAGAGATGCAAATTAAGACACTGCAATTCCATTCACTGCAGAGATAATGGCTATCAAGAAATCAAGCAATAAAACACTAAGTGGGGCTGTGAAGAAAAAGAACCCTTCTCCCCTGCTGCAGGGAGTGTAGCGTGGTATAACCATGGGGAGTGAGTGTGGAGATTCCTCAAAAAATTCAAGGTTCCACTGGACCTACCTATTCTCCTTCTTGGTATCCTGCTGCACTGAAAGCACCACACAATGACGTGTGCACAGCCACAATCACCGCAGCAGTTTGGGACAGCTAAGTCTTGGGAAGCAGCCCAAATGCCCATTAACCAATGCATTAATAAAACGTGGCTTTTTTATTGTGGCAGCAACACTCTGCCACAAAGGATAGTCTTGAGACACTTCTAGGTAAATGGATGCACTTTGAGACCATATATATATATATATATATATATATATATATATATATTTTTTTTTTTTTTTTTTTTTTTTTTTTTTCTTTTTGAGACAGGGTCTCACTATGCAGCTCAGGCTGGCCTTGAGCTCACTTTGTAGCCCAGGCTGGTCTCAAACTCACAATGATCCTCCTGTCTCAGTCTCCTGAGTGCTAGGATTACAGGTGTGCGCCACCACGCTCAGCTGAGACCATATTCTTATGTGAAATAAATGACACATATATGTAAATATCACATGGTTTCTCTGGTGTGAGAAATAAAAAGTGTAGTTTTTTTTTTCTTGGTACTGTGGATTGAACTCAGGACCCTGCACTTGCTAGGAAAGCGCTTATTCTACTGAGCTATCTCCCCGGGCCCTGAGAAGTGTAAGTAAGGGTGAAAAATGTATAATAGATATCGGGAAATGAAAAGACAATGTTCAAATGAGAACAAGAAAGGGATTGTACTTGGAGATGTGACTACCAATCAGTCTGATACTCAAGGAAGAAATATGGCTACTCAGAATACATTTTATCCTGACCTGAACAAGTTGAATGGATTTCAGAGATTTAAATTCATGTCCCCCTCTTAAGATTGGAAACAGAATCTTTTTATTACATTTGTCATTCTGTTCCTTGACAGTCAATCCCCAGAAGCAAATAACTTACCACATTTGAATTGTACATTTCTGACTGCTTTGACCAGTCAAATCACATAACTGTTGTAAATTTATGAATGATTTTATTCTTCTGTTCTCATACTTAGAAAATTTAGGTTCCAGATTGGCAGGTCCAACTGCCCCTTTCCAAAATTGTAACTTAACTTTTTAAAGTTTAAATTGTATTGAAGAGAATAATTTTTGTTTTTTGCAGCACTGGGGATTGAACTGAGGGCCTTGCGCTTGCCAGGCAAGTGCTTATTGTGCTGAGCTATTTCCCCAGCCTGAAGAGAATAATTTTTAAAGGATTATTAGAGAACTTTTTTCAGCTTACAGTTTATTGCCTTTCTTCAGTCCTCTTTTCAAAAAAGTTTGAAATTCAGAGTCAGAAAAAGCAAGTCAAAGAGAGGTTAAGATTGGAAAGCTGATTGAAGGAAATAAATGCATAATTTTTCAGTGAGTAAAATTGTAGCTGTCATATCAAATAGGCAAGTTTACATGCTGGTCTTTAGAAAATGACTAAAATATTAAAAATCATGTTATATTAATCTATCTTAACTCATATATTCAGAGTTCTGTGTAGGGTTTGGTTTTATTCTTTTTAGGGATCGTTTGTAATACTAAGAACTGTCCCTTAGGTTAGTGACTTACATATGTACAAATTGAAACTGTAAATTGTGAACACCGGAAAGCACCATTGTAACATAGAATATAAACATCTTAGTAATATATTAAAGTGAATGTAAAAGGAGAAAAAAAAAGAACGAGAGGGGGAAAGGATGAAAGGTACAAGAAAAGGATGGAAAAAAATGAAAACAAAACTTTTGTAAATAAGCAGGGAAAGAGGGGTTGAAGGGAGAATGGAAAAAAAAAAAAAGGATCAAACTACATCAGGCATGGTAGTGCACACCTGTAATCCCACCACTAGGGAGGCTGAGACAGGCAGCGAGACCCTGTACCAAATATATAAAAAATTAAAGATATAGCATGTAGAGGTACAAATTCTCTATGTTAAATGTTACCCAAAATGTATCAATTAAAAAAAAAAGTAGCTGGGTGCAATGGCACATTCATGTTAACCCAGTACTCAGCAGACAGGAGTGCCCCGAGTTTGAAGTCAGCCTGGGCTACACAGAAAGTCAGTAAAGGCTCCTTGTTGATGGCTGCCTGGCCACCTTCTCAAGGGTCTTCTGTAGAATGGGTGACATGCAGTGGAGGGGTCAGTGACCAGCCCATCCTTATCCATGTTCCATTTCTGGGAACCTCTAGAATGGGAGACTGACGTGTACAGCAAACAATCACCTGCTAGTGCATGAAGACCTGAACAAAGCTCCCATCCAGAGTTCCTTCTAGCTGTCCCCTGGCCCTGCAGGACTTGGCCCTTGCTTCTTTCTGCCTTTCAGTGCTTGTTCCTGTGCTGCTGTGCAACTCTTGAATTGCTCTTCCTTTTTTTTTGTTCCTGTTTTTGTTAGTCTCACTATATAGTTCAGGGTGTCCTCGAACTCACAGCAATCCTCCCTCCTCAACCTCCACAGTGCTGGGATTAATACAGTGCCTCCACACCCAGTTGCACTGGTCATCCTGTCACTAGGTGGCTTTGAATAAATATTTGTTAACTGAATAAGCATGTAATTTCCAGGACATAACGCTGTTTCTGTGAGGTTTTTTTTTTTTTTTTGCAGAACCGGGGATTGAACTCAGGCCCCTGTGTTTGCCAGAGAAGCGCTTATTCCACTGAGCCATCTCCCCAGCCCCAATAACGCTGTTCCTGGTGTAATGTGTCCTGAACACAGCTGCCTGTCACTGGGCAGTGATGGGAGTATCTTTGTCATGTGACTGCACAGTGCACAGCCTAAGGCAGTCACAAGCTACTGTCGATGACCCCTCATGGACACCTATCTGCAGAAGGTCCCTTGTGATGGAGCCGTCCTTTGACACCTGCCTTTATAATTTGGCCAGCAAGAGGAAGTGTTCGTGGCTCCATAGGACTGGTCCTCTTTTCAGTCTGCACAAGTGTCTCGATGGGTGTGCACTTGCCTCACAGCATCTCCGCCAGAAGAGCTGCCTTTGGTAAACTCTGAGTTGGGGGACTAACAAGACCCAGAGAAGGCCACAAACATAAAGGAGCAGGGGCAGCAAGTGCTGCAGCATCCCAGGCCACCTGTGGTGGGAGGAGCCATGAATGGTACAAAAGGGCCCAGGGGCCCAAAATGACTGACTGCTCTTGCCACACTGCTGTAGTGCTGGTGGCTTGCAAATGGAAGATCACAGTCCTCAGGCCCTGCTGGATGTGTGTGACACAGGGCTTGCCAATCTAAACCACACTCCTGAGCCCCAGGACAGTTTAGCAAAGAAGACAGTGGTAGGATGTGAACTGACTGTCCACCTACTCACACCAAAAGAAACACCTCAGAAGTAATTTAATTTTTTTTTTTTTTTTTTTTTTAGCGGAACCAGGGATTAAACTCAGGCCCTTGCGCTTGTCAGGCAAGCACTTATTCTACTGAGCTATTTGCCCGGCCCAGAAGCAATTTAATTTTAATCTCTTCAAACTTCTCCTGATTCATGAACCCCTGTGCATGTGTGCATCTGCAGAGATCACGTCATCCGGCTTCATTCTGAGTTCTGCCCTCCATAGGAGCTGCTTCAGGGCTCCCTGACTACTGTGGTCAAAACCAGCATCCCTGCAGCACAATCCTGGCACCAAGTTTGTGCATGTGATTGTGCTCCTGCAGAGCAGGCTGGTGGGTGCCCATCCTGGAACAGTCCACAGCCTGAGTGGTGCTCCTGCACCTGTGCCACACAGGTGCCCTCTTTCTCACCCAACTGGGGTCACATGTCCAGGTGCTTGTAGAGCCTACGGCTCTTCTCCTTCTTGTTCCTGTTGCCATGTTTTTTCCAGGGCTTCCCCGCCACATTCTTGGAGCTCACAGTGGCTGTAGTCACCAGGCCGCTGCCAGGCTGGTAACCCATCACGGCCTGGACCCCTCTGGTCAGTGCCCTCACGTTCTCCTGGAAAACAGACATGTGGTGAGAGGTGGCGGCAGGGTACCCCCAAGGGATCCGATCTAGAAACTAAAGAAACTGAGTTTACTTGGTAAAATTTAATTAAATAGGATGGCAAATGTAAAGCAATATTCCACCTTTGTATAAGAATACTCTAGGGGGCCAGGGAGATGGCTCAGTGGAATAAGTGCTTCCCTGGCAAGTGCAAGGACCTGAGTTCAATCCTTGGTTCCGACAAAAAACCAACCAACCAACCAACCAAACAAACAAAAACCACTCTAGAAGCTGAGGGTTAGATATATGAATTGTATTGAATGGGAAGCTGTTGGCTTTCACATGTGGCCGTTAGAAATGTACTGTAAGCACTAAAGGATTTGAATTAAATGTCCTGCCTGTCAGGTGTAGGCCTGAGAAGAGCCTGCAGTCCTTCTGCATACTGGCTTCTTTTCAAATACTGGCACAGCCAGGAATAATTCAAAAGAACAGCCACAAATAGCTAAGCTTGTCTCAGCTAAGCCGGGTAAAACAAGCAGTCTTTTCAGCTAAGTCATGTCCTTGAGCCGCAGTCCCCAGTGTGAAACAGGGACGGGAACGTCTGCTTGTCTGCACAGGGCAGACACAGATACTGGGCCAGGGAACCAGCACCCAGCCACTCCCTAGACACAGCCGACTCTTCCTTTCTCTCCAGATGGCAATCACTTAAAGGCATCATTACTCCTCCTCCTGCATGCTAGTTTACCACTGTGCTACATCCGCAGCTTACTTAAAAGCTCTTTTGAAGCAAATTAACTACAACACTGTGTCTTAACTCTTCTGTACACAAATTTGTCTTTTTTTTTTGGCACAGCCGGGGATTGAACTCAGGCCCTTGCGCTTGCCAGGGAAGCACTTATTCCACTGAGCCATCTCCCCAGTCCCCACAAATTCGTCTTTTACAATGCTGCCTCTAATTCAAATAGTCAATATTGCAGGAATTCAAATAGTCAATACTGTAAAGTGCAGGAGACTTGTATAAAGCCTGTCTCTCTGGCAGTTTTTAATCGTATACCTGATGAGGCCTTAATATCTCAAGTATGTAACAACTCCTGGAACTCAACAGTCAGGTGCAGTAACGCCAGCCTGTGATCTCAGCACTTGGAAGGCTGAGGCAGGAGAACTGCTGCCATGTTTGATCTCAGCCTGGGCTACACAGTAAGTGCAAGGCCAGCCTGGATTACATAGTAAAACCCTGTCTCAGAAAAACAACCCAAAACCTGATACTGCTCCAAGGAAAATACATATGTACCCATAAGCACCTGAAAGAAGATCAGTAAAACAAACCAAAACCATGAGGCCCTTCACATGCATCAGGATGGCTAAGGTAAAAAATACAAGAGCAAAAAGCAATGAGAATCATGTGGAAAAATCAGCACATGTCGGCACTGCTGCTGGGGCTGTTCAAAGTACAGCCACATGGGCTCGTTCAGTGACCTCGCGCACAGAAACCCCACTCCTGGACACAGAACAAGAGGATGGAACATACCCCATGCCCAAACTCTACACAAAGTCACAGCAACATTAGCCCTAAAAAACCAAAAATGTCACATTGTCTATCCATAGCTACATGGACAAACAAAACATGCTCCATCCACACAGAGGATTATTCAGCAATAAAAAGGTCTGAGTGCTGTCATGTGCCACCACACGGCAAACCTTGAGGACATGCAAAGCGAGGAGCCAAAAAGCACAGCATCTGATCCTGTCCTCGGGGATGTCCAGGACTGGCAATGCTGTACACACAAAGTGGACCAGGGGCTGGCAGGGGATGGACAGAAGGGAGCAGGCTGCTAACAGCAGAGCTTGAGAGTTTTTTTGGGATGGTTCTTTTTTTGGTCTTTTTAAGACAGGGTTTCACTATGTGGTTCAGGCTGGTCTTCTACTCACAGCAATCTTTTTCCCTCAGCCTTCCGAGTGCTGTGATTACAGGCCTATGTCACCACACTTGGCCTTGGGGTGTTTCTTAAGTGGACTGTACAATTACTGGATTTTACAATTTAAAACTGTGTGGGTGGGGCTGGCCAAATAGCTCAGTGGATTGAAGCCCCTGCTTAGGCAAAAGCAGGGGTCAGGGGTTCGGTTCGATCCCTGGCACTGCAGTGCTGGCCCTGCCCCTGGGGTGTGTTGAGATGGCGACTGAGACTCGGTGTGATGGCGCACCTGTGATCCCAGCTCAGGGGAGGCTGAACACAGGTGGATTGCTATGAGTCTGATCTGCATAGTAAGATCCTGTAGACCCTGTACTAAAATACAAAAACAAAACAAAACAAAACAAAACTATGTGGGTGAACTTCAGTTTATTTTTTCTATTTTAGGGAAGGGTCTACAGGGTGTTCAGGGTCTCACTACCAGACTGGAGTCATAGTGATCTGCCAGTTTATAGCCTCCCAAGAGTTGGGATTACAGGTGTGTGCCACCACACCCAGTCTCCACTGCAGTCTCAGTGAGCCCCTGGAGTGCAGCCAGCACAGCAGACCTGGAGATCGAACTGAACCCCCAGCCCCTGCTTCTGTGTAAGCAGGTGCTTTAATCCACTGAGCTATTTGGCCAGCCCTTGGTTTTGTTTACCTCAATGGTATGGAAACTCCTCAATCTTTTATTTATTTAAATTTATTCATTTAGTACAGGGTCTTGCTAAACAGCTTGGACTTGTAGTGGTCCTCCTGTTTAAGCCTTCCCAGCACTGGGATTACAGGCGTGCAGCCACCAAGCCCAGTTTTAGTGGCTGGCACGGAGCACCCAGGGTTCTAGGGCCAGCACAGGGCTGGTGAGATGGCTCAGTGGTCTAAAGTACCTATTTAGAACAAGCTTAACAAAGCACATGGACCGCGGTTCAATCCCCCAGC